AGGAGAGGAGAGGAGAGGAGAGGAGAGGAGAGGAGAGGAGAGGAGAGTTCATTTGTCATCCATTGCGTGCTTTGTTGAAGACTTAGGCAAGCCTTTGTGGTTTGTTTTCTAAGATACATAACTGAGACATGAAGAAGATATATGAAGTAGTTTTCTTCCAAGAGAATAAATGGATGCCCGTGTTGTCTTCGATAGGTTTCCAGAATTAAGTTCTTTTGAGCTAGTCTGCATTCAAGCTAGTCAACCACAATTCCTTTGTAGTCAATGGAAAGAAAGACGTTGTTTACAATGTGATTTATCTTGGCTTTAAGGAAATGTACTCACTAGGTGAGAACATCATGTAGCTAAGCTATAGAAGCTCTTGTTGTAGGATGGGAGTTTAGCTTTGCTCTTTTAGGTGTAGTTTTGTCTCATTTGAAAACTGCCTGTGTCTCCTCCAGTTATGAAGACAGTTCAGAATAACTTGTCCAGATGTAAAGCTTTAAAATTCAAGTAAATCCTGTCTCTCAGGCCGTGTTGGGCAAGATTAACCAAAATGCCAGTTACTGACTTTGCCACCTTTGTGTTACTTTATTCCAGCTTTAGTGCAAAATGTCTTAGTCTGGCTTTATGTAGAGCATGCACGTTAGTAGAAAAACATATTGAAGAAAGATGTGATCTTTTTTTCCCCCATCTTTTGCTGTAAATCACTAAAACTAGCCTCAGTGAGCTTTTCCATTGCTATCTCCCTGCCAATGCAGGAAGTGTCAGGCTTTGGTTATGTGTAACACATGTTCAATAAGAGCTGGGTTTAGAGAGAGGCATAACTTCTTAAGCTTTAAGTATTCATGTTAGCTGTCTTTTTACTTTTGCTTTTAAGGGACTTTTTGCTTAGTGCATGGTGCTAGCTTTGAAGCACTAAATCATGGAAAAAAAAGCCTCTGCCTAAGCACCTTCAGGGTTGTCCAAGACCCTGCCACTCTGTCCCATCCCTTGCTGAGCAGATGTGTGGGGATAAGCTCTCCTGTTACAGACTGGCCCTCGACAATGTGCGTGGGACTGCCCGTAAGAAGACTAGCTTATAGGAAATGTGGAGATGTCTCCTGTGATGTGAGCTGTTCTTCCCAGTGCACCGGACTGTGACTATATTAAATTACAGACCGTGTTGCCTAAGCCACCAGATGGCGAAGATAATTGACCTGTGGTCACAAAAGACTTGGCTAGATGCAAACAGCAGTGAAATTAAATAAGCAGAACGTCTTTTTACTGTCGGTCTGGGAAGACCTGACTATGTGTGTTTCTCACTGTCACCACTTTGGACTCTGTTGTTATCTCACTCAGAGCATTGCTGTGGATGTCCAGGAGTGGAAGCTTCATGGGCAGAAAGAAACCTTGCTGTGTGTATGAATGTAGTGTTCCTGCAGCCCCCTCGCATGCATGGCTGAGCTCAGAGCCAAATCCAAGAGTGGTTGAAACTTCACACTGTTGAAGGGATCAAGCAGAGGGACTTAAAGTATCCGAGAAGTAGGAAAATCTTATGGAGAACAACTTCATGTTGAAAGCCTGATTTTTGGCTATGCTAATTGCGTGTGTGCATCTGTGGGAAATGAGTTTCCTTTCTTTGCTGGAGCGTTAAGCTGTGGGTGCACAAAGGCACAAAGGTTCTGGAGCATGAATAACACTCTTGTCCGTAACCATGGTCATTCCAGGACAGCCCAGTGAGTGGCTGGAATTTAGCCCCTGCCATTAACTTGTTTTTCCAGGACTTCAGTTTCTAGGACTGTAAATACTACGTATTTCATGAGAACTACAATTATTTTTCATTTCAAACTGGAAAGTCTTGTCCCTCCCCACCTCTCTGTAGTAAGGCCTTTTTTGCACCTCCCCCTTTCGAGGAAGCAGAAACAGAGTAGCCAAGCTCTGGGTTGCAAAATATTGATTTCATGCAAATGAGATGGGGAAGAAAAGCCAGATGCAGTCAGTTTTCTGTCTCCTTTAAGCAGAAATAATACTCCCTAAGCACTCTTCTACTTAAAAGAGAGCAAAGACAGCAATCACTGCTAATTTTTATTTTATAGAGGTACCTGGATGTTTGAATATGAAGTGATGTGCAGTGAAGGAAATCTCTGGAAGCATTTATTATTGCCTTCAATTAGGAATTGAAAATAAGAAGAAAAAGCAAATGGCCTTCAGATGTTACTCAGTAACATTTTCAGCTCTTCCTAACCAACTGCCATATTTCTCCTAGCTACAAAGTGCAAGAGTTCTCCTTTTGCTGATTAAAACTGGGTAAGAGTTATTCGTATTCTTACAGTTTTGTGTACTGAAGCAGGAATCTGACAGGAATGAACAAGCACGGTATTTAAAAGGAGCAGTCGGATACGAGACTTCATGAGGCACTTGCCAAGATTTTTCTGTGTATGTTTGTGTACTGAACAAGGCATCTCCCTTCTCCTCGGTGTGCTTGTTTATTGACTGTAAATATATAATTATTTATACCTCGATTCCTTATCTGACATAACAATCGTTTCCTAATTGAAATTCTTGGTAACAGAGACACTTTTGTCTGTAACTTATTTTGGTTGGCAGAATGTATAACTCCTGGTTGTCAGAGCCTTTTTCTGTTATTTCTTCGGACTGATGCTACTGAATTAGTTTAAGGCTTTCCTTGAAAAAATGTAATGTTTTCCCTTATCAGCTGTTTGCTAAACAAAAGAGAGTAAAAACCAAAAAAGGAGAGAGTAAGCGTAACAAAGATTTTGAGCAGCCAGTGGAGAACAGAACTGTTGTCTTTCAAGAACCCTTGGCAGTGAGGAAGGTTCTGCATTAAAAAATGTTGGACTTGTCTGAATAGATAATATCAGCAACCTTCTGTGCCAGGGACTGTTGCTGTGTTGAGTCAATGATGACTTTCTGCTGGAGCCCAATAAGAGAATTGTCTCAAGGCACCAAGCCATACGAACTTGAAGAGACAAGCCAGCCGTGGTGGAACGAGTGGCCCTCAACAATGTTTTCCTTTGAGCTTCTAAGCTTTGCCTTAGAAGGCAAGGGCCTATGAGACTCGCCAACCCAAAGAGACTTCTTCATCACTAGAAACTTGAGCCTGAATGCAGAGGTTCATCGTGGAGAAAACAAAGCAGAAAGCCCCAGGAAAATTCTGCAGAGTGGCTACTTCCTCCTCCAGGGGAGTTCCTCTCTTACCCTGCTGACTGTATTATTATTATTATTTTAAAAACACTACCCTTCAGTTTCTGTTTAAAGATTTTTTTTAAGGCGGTGGGAAGTAAGCAAGTGGATTTCTCGAGCCTTTTTATGCTTTCTGAAAACATACACGGTAGGTCTGGATAACAATTTGCAATTTGTACTTTTGGACTAGGAACACAGTTGAAAATTCAGTTGTAGCATGTGTTATATGTGATTATTGTCTTCTGGAGTAATGTCTTAGTCTGTTGACAGAACATTTTATTGGTAACTTAAATTCCTTTCGTGTTGTTTTTTTAAACAAACTAGGAAGCCTTCTTTACTCATTTGTTCTCTTAGCAGCTGAGTAAGTTTGATGTGGTCTCTAACAGTATGTTTGATTCTCTGTGTTCTATTCTGGAATGCTCTATGAGCCCATGGTCTTCTCTTTTTTCCCTTTTTCAACTTCTTCTGTCCCAAAAGGATAATACACAAAGCATTTCCCTACAATTAAGGTCTTGCTGGTCTGAATGTCTAATTTTCCAGTGCATCTGGTCCTCAGAAAAGTCTCTGTGCCTCAGTCATGCAGAGATGCTGCTGTTTTTTCTGTGATGGTATTCTTACTGATTCAAAAACAATCAGCAGAGTCCATTTACTTGCTCAATTTATGTTCTATTACATTTCCAGTAGAAAGTGTAGTACATAAATCTTTTCAAAGTGCACTTAAAATAGCCTTAAATGGCAACTGAAAATCTCTCCAAAGTACAATATTTGCAGTCTAGAGGAGGATTTATCATGTAAGCAGTGCTACTGTTTTACTGCTCCCTTAATTGAGCATTAGGAAAACAGGAGAGAAGCATTTTGGCAGCAAAATGCTAGAAAAAAAAGTGCCCTCAAAATTTGCCCCTTCTATGTTGTACGAAATGTTTCACTTAGAGTGGAAATCAATGCACCAATGAAAAATTATCTAAGATAAGCACATGAGTCTTGATTTTGTGCATATCTGTGTAAGTTCTGCAGCTTTTGTTAACATCAGCTAGACAGAATTAGGACTCCGTGTACTTTCTGAGGTGACGGGAAGGAGTTATTCGTATCTATTTTATTTCAGAGGTTTTCACACTATTGTTAGGGTAATGATATACCCTGATTCATGTACCACAGTGGCACTGTCCCTTGTTGATTGACATACATGGCAACAACCGTGGAAGAAGAAAGGGATGGGGGATGGCAATTTAGGCGGAGTGGTAGACGAGTATGGTCTGAGACAACCAGAAGACACTTGAAAGGAAAATGTTTCTATGATTTACTACTTTGTACTGCTTTGATTTACAAGGAAGATTAAAAGAAAAAATATGCAAAAAGAATCCTATGGCTGAACTTTTGCAGAAAGACTGACTTCCCTTCTGTGGTTCTTTGAGACATGAGAAAGAAGCCAGCCCTAACCCAAAAGATGTTTCTGGTAACTCAGCCAATAAGCTGGGTCCTATGAGCTTTGGAGTCATGCCTGTTTTACTGACATTCATGCAATTTTGGATCTGAATAGGCTCACCTCTTGCTGCCTCTCTGCACACAGTAAGTTTGGACTTCTCTCAAGAAGGTAGTTTGACTACTCCGTCATACTGGGGTATCCAGGTTGGGCACTGCTGCACTTGGCACAGTGAGACACCAGAGTTGGGTTTTTCCCACAAGGTGCAGATGTCTGTGTTAGATTTATTTACCCTCATGCTCTGCCATTACTGGGAAGAAAGGCAGTCACCTGAAGATAACCTCCTAGGTCGTCTTTTTTTTTCTACTGGCTGTACAGAGTGCTATAGTGACTAACTGAGACACAGATCTGTGGGTGTAGATGAAATAGATATTCCTGCAGATTGCCGGCCATTTTACCTGTAGAATTGCAAGGCTGCTGATTCAGAAGGGCACTTACTCATGTGGCAGCCCTCGAAAGAAAAGCATTTAAAAAACCAACAACAAACTAAAAGGAAGGCTTAGATTTGATAACTACTCTCAGGCAGTCCATTAAAATTTGAAGTATCAGACAAATGTATTCATGTAGGAGATAAAAGTTTTCACTTGGCTATTAAATTTCTAATCTATGATGCTAACTGATAATTTGAAAACTACTTATTTTTTAAATCTACTACTTCTGTGTGTATTCTTTTGCTCAAACATAAATTCCTGTCCCAGCTGGTTATATCCTGCCTGTTGCTGTTGACCAGTGTGCAGTCACAAGACGAACATGCCAAACCTGTGAGTTCGAGGGCTGCAGATGCAAAGGCATCTTTTTATGAGTGTGTGTGTAATGTTTGTCTCTATGTACAGGTTATATATGTTTATGTCAAGGGATCAGTTAAGAGATCCATTTCCTGTTATAGGAAACAGCACAGAACTGTATGTTGTTGGAACAGCAGCACCAAGCTTGGCTTTTGAATAGGCAGAGCAGACGTGTTTAGGGGAAGGCAGTAATGCAGGAGCAAAGCAATCACAGTGTCAGCATGTCTCGCACCAGTGCTGTGGCTTTGTGCATCACAAATCTGTTCAAAATGTGCAAAATCATTTGGCGTGTGTGGGAGGTTGCCAAGGAGAAATTAACTTAGGGAAAAAAAAAATCATAAAAGACTACATTTTAATTTTGTCTAGAACAGATTATTTCTGTTAATTGTGGTTGTTTCAGAATAGAAGAATCTATGCAGAATTGGGCCAAAACAGCCATTTGGTGACACTAACCTGTAGTCTCCTCTAACACTGCATAAAGCCAAAAAACTTCCTTTTGTGTCTGTGTTTGGGTTTCAGGACTCAAGCCCTCAGGAGAAAGTAGAAGGGAATAAATAAAAAATGATTGGGAGAGGCCGCAGATGCTCTCTTAGCATCTCTGCGTCCTGAGACTTGTGGTCTGCTACGTGGAAGCTGCAAGTGTTAGTGTCCAGGCTAAAGCTGCTGCATCATAGGAAGATTTGGGTTGGAAGGGACCTTGCCTTGCCCAGCCCTGTGCCACAGGCAGGGATGCCTTCTATGAGGTCAGGCTGCTCGAGGCCCTGTCAAGGCCTAGCTGCGCTCCCTCCCCCACCCTGTCCTTAGGCTTTTCTGATTGCTTGTGTAGTCACCCCCCAAGCCAGTCCTGTCAAAGCCTAAGTTACAGAAAAATAAGCACTGAAGAAACCATTAGTCTAACCCAGACATCTTGACTGAGCTAGGTATGAGAGCAACTACATGAGCCACAGTGCTGGCAGGTTTGCTGGTAGGAGGTAATCCTGGCTCAGTGTTAGCTGGAGCAGGATGTCTGTTGTGATCCTGGATATGCAGCTCAGCTGGTAGGTAGAAGCCTGCAGGAAATGCAAGAGGAAAACTTATCAGTTGTTTTGTTCCCAGTAAAAGAAAACCCTCAATACGGAGTTAGGAACACCCTCTAAGGTATCATGTCCTGGAACAGTGTCCAGTGATGCTCAGACCTTTGAGACCTTGTGGTTGGATTTATGGTACAAGATTACCTCAATACCTCCTGGGCTGGCTGATTAGCTGCATGCTTGAATTATGCAGGAGCATGAATCAGGAAAGGGATTTTTTTGGAGTAGTGTGCTGGCTGCTGTGTTCGGAGGCAGTGCAATCATATGGCTAGGGAGGCTTGGCAGAACTGAATCACAGTACAAAGAGATGAGTGATGAGGCAAGGAACTCGTTAGCATGATCTCAAGCTCTTCCCCTGACCCTGTCCATGTCAAGAAAAGAGGGGATCACTTTGTTGGTGAGATCTGGAGATTGTATTGGCAATTAAAGTTTTTCTTGCTTTGGGCACTGTAAGTGGGAGGGTGTAAAGGAATTCTGCACCTTCAGCTGTGGGCAAGTGGAATGAGCTAACACAAGATGGATCCTGGAGTTCCAGAAGCAGTTGTTAAATGTAGCAGGTGTGGGTTTGTTCTGCCAAGTCGCTGCTTGAACGGAGAACACAGGTAGGTGGTGGCATGAAGTCCTCACACCCTCCCTGAGCTGTGGCAGGAATTGCTTAGGTGCTGAGGTGCGTGCTCGCTATCCTGGAGATCTGCTGATGGGTAGAGTATGCTACTCAATAGAAGACAAAAATAAAGGTTGTTCTGGTGTGTAATTAGTATTTCTTTCTGCCAGAGACAGTTTCCAAGCATAACATTTTTGTGGGGAAAAGATACTGAGCAGATTGTTAAGCTCAAAGGCAGTGCAAGCTAGTCTACAGATTTTCAGTGCTTGTATTTGTTTCTTACAGAATCATAGGGATTGGAAACGACTTGTGGAGATCATCTAGTCCTGCTAACGCAGCGTCCCTACAGAACCTTATGACAGATAGAGTCAGCGTGTTGCTTCATGACAAAGCGTGCCTGTTCCTAAGTAGAACTGATTCTGCCCAGCTCTGCCACAGTCCCCATTGTAGATCTCAAAGCACTCTTTGTTTTTGTTACTCTTAATGCTTTAAAAATCTGAGTCTCAAAGAAGTGATACATTTCGATTACAGACATGTCTAAGTGCCTCAGTTGCATCGGGTAGCCAGCCTGCCTCTCTGGCCTCGGATCCTTGGCACTTCTGCAGTCGGGCTGCTGCAGCTGTGTCTTTGAGCTCTCCTGTCTGCTTCATTGCCTTATTGTGGCCCTTAGTTCTGTTTTGCAAGAGTGAGCAGAGGGTTAAATTTATATTTTCTTTAAGGTCCAAAACTCTTATTTTAAGAGTCTTGAAAATAGGCTTAAGTACATAAAAAGATTTTCCTGGCAGTTTGATGAACCATTGTTGGGGGTAGGAAATCAAGATGTGGAGGCTTTCACATCATCTCCTTAATCATGTAAAAGGCAGAAGGTTCTTGTAAAAAGCTGGTGTCCTCCCAGAGCGGCACACGACCACTTCATTGTCCCCTCCCAGTCTCTCCCCTAGCTCTGTTTCCAAAACTTGTCTTTCCTTATCCACTCACTTTTCTTTTCTCCTGTAACATGCTGACCTTTAGCACTGCCCCAGATGTCTCCTCCTGTGCCCGCTGCATGCATTGTCAGCTGCACGCGGGTTGCATATCCCCAAATCAATTTTAAGGAGACACTGGTGGAGGTGGATTTCAGCAAAATGCATACTGTTCATTTCTGGGTTTCTGCCAGGATGGGTTTCAAGTGTTCACATGCCATCTAGGAGGCTCATTCAAGGTCTAGAGCTAGGCAGATACTGTAAGGACCAGCACACTGGAGAAGCACTTGGGATGGGCTTTGTGACCCTGTCTGTCACAGCCTCTTGGGAAGGGTAATGTTATTCATAGGTGATGTGTAAGCACTGACTCCAGTCATCAGGAAGACAGCTTGTACTGGGTTACCCAAGTTAGGTCACATGGCTGAAGTCAGCTAGAAGATGGTCAAAGTAACAGTTTAGTCCTTAATTGTACGCAAAAAAAAAAAAAAAAAAAAAAAAAAAAAAAAAGGGGGGGGGGAGGGGGGATCAATGGCTTCTGCGTTTTGTTTTTATTTCCTTTAAGTGTTATGCTTGCAGGACATCATCTGCTCATCTCTCCACTGCCCTGTGTTGAGCTGAACTCAGATTTGGATTGTTAACCCCTGCTTCTGACCCTGGGTACTCCACTTTTCAGAGTATGAGTGAGCACCTGGATTTTATAACACTTAGAAGTGCCAGTTTTAAAACCAAAAATGGCTTTCAGCTTTCACAGAATGGTGTGGACAGGGAGATCTTAGTCTTGCCTCCTGCTTTCCTCTTCATCCGTCTGTCTCCTGCTTTCAGTGCAGTGTTTAAAGCCCACCTGAGCACTGCCCACCTAATGACCACAGCAGCTCTTTGTCCTGCTGAACGCTTTCTGTATACCTTACCTCATATTTATTTTGGCTTAAGATACAACCCAGTTGTCCAAACGTTTACTGCTGGATGTGCTCCCGCCGACATCTGCAGGAGAGCAGTGAGTCCAGCTGCCGGCCCCAGCGATCCAAGAGCAGCTGCTGCCCGTTTGGATACAGACCTTCCAGAAGAAGTTGTGTATCCTGTCCTGAACACAGAGTGTGTTTTTCACTTATGTCCTTCCAAGATAAAAGGCAGCAAAGACGACCACCACTTAAGGACTAATTAGCTAGAAGCCTCCATCTCATTTGGCAAAATCCAGATGTTATCCTGCTGATTTCAAGGTTGTTATTCAAGCGCAAAAATTGACACAGAGGAGTTGAGGCTGGGTCTACATCACAGGCTTTTGCTGAGGAGGCCTTCAATCAGGGTTTTGATGGGTGTGTGATCTTTGGCCAGCACAGCTGTGCTGACAGGAAGTCCCTAGCATAGATTTCTGCTAATTGTACTGGTGAAGCCTTGCTTTTAGTGGTATTGCTGATATGGGGGAGAAGCTCTCTTGCAAGTTCCTCACTGTCAGTGCTGACCTCCCTTCATCGACCCCATTCACATCAGTTCCGGCTGCACTGGCTGCTTCCCAGGTAAGAGCTGCCCCAGGTTGGCACATTCCTTTATTTCCCCATTTGGGAGGTTCCTATTAGGAAGTTAGGACCACACTTGCTTTTTCTTTTTTAGTATTGTAAGTTTTAGTCATTTGAATGCATTTTTTGAAATGTACATCTTGTTCTCAAGAAGGCTTTGATCTTAGCAGTCTTTTCATCTGTACATCAATCTGTTGTGTGAAAATGCTGGAACGTGCTTTTATTGTGGCATGGGATTTCTTCAGTTTTTGTTTTCATTTCTCTGTGTAGTTGAGAGAATTTTTCATCCCTGAGGATCTCCCTTTGGCTTGATCCTACATAAAAGTTGACCACACATGTGTCAGGCTGTAAGGACCACTTTAGGCCATATCTTTCAATTTTCTTTGCAGGGATTTCCTGATATTAAATTAAGCCAATTCATTTTCCTTCCTCACATTAAGATAAAGAAAGCATTTTGGCCAAGTCTGCACATTTTTGTGAGCAGACATAAGCACAGACATAAGCACTCTCTGCCTGTCTCCACTAGGAAGGATCTGACATAAAACCCAGAATCTTGTGATTGCTACAGCACGAGGCAGAGTCTGGACTGACTTACCTGTTCTTCTCTGTGTTATTGGACTGAGCAGTCAGGTGCTGCTGATTGTGGTAATTTAGCCAGTTCAGGGCATAGGCATTATAATACAGATCCATCTGCATTTGGCCATGTAGACTTAGCCTTAATCTTAGTTGCTTGTACCTGCTCCTCCTGTGCACTGCCTGCTGTAAGGAGGAAGTTTAGGCATCACGTTAAAATCCTAGAATCCTTAGAGTTGGAAGGGACCTTTTAAAGTCATCTAGTCCGATTCCCGTGCTGAGAACAGGGACATCCACATGTAGTTCAGGTTGCCCGGGGCCTGATCCAGCCTCGCCTTGGAAGTCTCAAGGGGTGGGGTATCCATCACCTGGGCAATGTTTTCCAGTACCTCACCACCTTCCCTGTAAAATACTTTTTCCTTATATGTAACATAAATCTACCCTCTTGAAGCTTGAAACCATTTCCCCTTGTTCTGTCACAACAGACCTTGCTAAAGAGTCTGCCCCCTGTAGCTTCCCTTTAGATACTGAAAGGCCACTCTCAGGTCATCTTGGAACCTTCTCTTCTCCAGGCTGAACAGCCCCAGCTCTTTCGGCCTGTCCTCATAGGAGATGTGTTCTATCCCTTGGAGCATTTTTATGGCCTTCCTCTGGACGTGCTCCAATAGCTCTATGTCTCTGCTGTACTGAGGACTCCCCATCTGGATGCAGTGCTCCAGGTGATGCTGCACCAGTGCAGAGTAGAGGGGCAGGATCACCTCCCGTGCCCTGCTGGCTGTGTTTGCTTTTGATGGAGCCCAGGGTAGGGTTGACATTCTGGACTGTGAGGGCACCGTGCTGGCTCATGTCCAGCTTGCCGTCTACGAATACCCCCAACTCTTTTTTGGTAAGGCTGTGCTCAATCCTTTCTTCATCCAGCTTATACTGGTAGTAGATATTGCTTTGACCTAGGTGCAAGACTTTGCACTTGGAGTTGTTGGATTTGTTGTGCTTCTATAGTTATAGATGTGCTTTCTGAAAATATCCACCTCCTTGCGCTGTGCTGTTCCAGTGAAAGCCCTTGTGTAAATACTGTTATATCTGTGCAAAGTAAGTTTCATCCCAAGGGAAGGTGGAGAAGGAGTTGTTCAGCAGACAGCAGAAAAAGCTAGTCTATACCTCCTATATAAAAATGTGACATTTTAAAGAGATTATTGCCACTGAGCCAAATGTGTATCTCTGCCATTGTTGGACCCTCACTGAGGATATTGATGTGATAAGACATCTTTTATCACTTTCCTTAGTGTAAGCAAGCAATTGCTCTACTTCATAGTTGATAGCACTGTGGTAGTAGTTGCTCATTCTAACCTACCCCTTTGGTTATGTGTAACTGTGGGCAGAGAGTTTGGCTTGTAATTATATATAAGTTGAGGAGAAGATTGGAGTGTGCAAAGGAGCCGCCTGGTATGTGTGCTGCTGGGGCACAGCCTGCTCGAGCTGGTTCTCCATCAGGCATCCTCACCTCAACACTTCTGCATGGCCCAGGGGCATGCTCAGAGGTTGCAGGACTGAGCCGTGGTCTCATGTGCTTTGTGTTGACCTTTCAGAGGCTGAGACAGTGCCTCAGGATCTTTGAGTATTTATTGTTCTTTATGTCGTTGACTTGTTGGAGATAGGGGTAGACTTCTCATTTAATGAAAATATTATCCATTTATTTTTCTCCTGCTTTTATGTAGGTCCTACGAGAGACTAATAAATTGGCAGAAATGGAAGAGCCACCTTTGCTGCCAGGAGAAACCATTAAAGACATGGGTAAGCAAAGAATACATTTCTTACTGTTTGCTTGACCAAATAGAATATCCATAGAGCAAAATACTTTGTTGGTCAATGACCAACAGTAGCAAATTGCTGATGTTTTGAGACCCTGCAGGTTGTTTCAGCAAGACTGTATTTTGGAGGGTTCCTGGAGATCAGCATTAAAAGTGTTTTATCTGTTGGCAAATAACCAAGCAGTCACGTGAGTCTGTAAGGCCAGGTGGGTTTCAGAGTGCAGAGTGAGACTGAGCGTATTAGACCTTCCCTTGGTAGCAGCTCTAGTACAACCTCTTTCGTACCTGGTATCCACGTTCGCACAAACAGTGGGGGAATTTAATGCCTTGAAGGACCCTGTTTATCAGTTACACACTTGTGGAAATCATAGAAACATATGAGGACTAAGGTCAAACAACTGGACATTATATATATATAAATATATGTGTTTGTACATGTGCAATGTAAGTGGAATTGATTAAGGCTGAGGGCTGACCTAATTGCAGCCTTTTAGCACCTAAAGGGAGTTTACAAACAGGAAGGGAATCAAGTCTTTGAAAGGGTAGATAACTGCAGGACAAGGGTGAAATGGTTTTAAGTTGAAGGAGGGAAGATTTAGATTGGATGTCAGGGGGAAGTTCTTTACTATGAGAGTGGTGAGGTGCTGGAACAGGCTGCCCAGAGGGGCTGTGGATACCCCATCCATCCCTGGAGGTGTTCAAGGCCAGGTTGGATGGGGCCCTGGGCAGCCTGGTCTGCTATTAAATGTGGAGGTTGGTGGCCCTGCCTGTGGCAGGGGGGTTGGAGATTCATGATCCTTGAGGTCCCTCCCAGCCCTGGCCATTCTGTGATTCTGTGATTCCTTAGGAAACCAAGCTAATGTAAATGTGAGAGGTGGTGTGGCTTTTAAGTTGGCAAGACTAGTGTTTGAGATAATGCCGAAGATTCCTTACCTGGGAAACATTTTTCTAGCACCTTTTCCCTTTTCTGGTAATTTCTGTTCTTTTTCAGATGTGTGTGCACACTCCTCTTACTAGTAGTTTTTATTTTTTATCTGTTTAGAATATATAGAAACTGCTTTTTCAATAATGAGAACTATAATGGAGCAGCCGGGCAGGGTGCTCTCACCCTTATTATGAGTTTCATGAGTCTGCTTTTAAGCTCTTGTCGATGCACTCTTTGGATAGAAGTGATTAATAATCATCAGTAATGAAACAAACATTGGTTTAATTAGAGCTGAAGCATTTTGTGTTTAATAGCCCTTACAATAGAGGCATTTCATTTTATATAAATGAATAGTAAGGTTGCTAGCATATATATTTTAAACCAGAAATTCTCTGCTCCTTATTTTGCTTCAGACTTGTCATTCCTCTTCCCTGTTCCCTGGAACTTTCTAGCTGAGGCTCTGAAGGCAACCAGAGCTGGGTCTGGCTGCCTGCCCACTGTTGATTTTTAAGGATTCCTCTCCGTATCTGAATCTAGAGAGTCAACAGTGCCTTTATAGAAGCAGGGCTGATGTGAGGACGAGATGAGTGCCGTAGAGTAAGGCAGTGTCCCTCCCTCCTTCCAGACTGAAACCTATGGGATAAGGGTGGATGAAATTTGGGTCCCTGTGACACTTCAGCTGCCTCCCACTCGTTTGCATGGTGGCTGTCACCTGACTGGGAGGTGAGCTTTCTTACTGCCTTCTTGCAGTCCTTGCAAAATGGATCCCTTAGGGTTTGTAGGCCTAAGGTTATTAAGATGGGCTGGGGGTTTTGTTTTCTTTTCCAAATTTCATGGATCTGGCAGCTGTAGTCTGTGGGTCTGCTTCTGAAAGGATGTCTGTGTTTGAGGAATATTGCTACCAGTTGGTAATAGCATCGCCACAGCACAGCCAGCCCACTGTTCAGTGACAGAAGGTGTGACAGGTCACTGATGGGTGCTGGTGGGGGGGAACAACTTGAATGTTGGCTTTTTTAATTGATATAAAACAGAAGGGCAGTTAGAGGAGGTGTTTGCTGTGGAAAACCAGCAGCACCTCTTTCCTTTTGCCGGCACAAGCGAGAAACGTTTGAGGCCTTTTACGAAGGGGACTGGTTTGAGTCACCGTCACTCAGGTTCAGAAATAATTGAATTGTTGCAGAGTAATTTGATCGCTGGGTTAAGGTTTAACATCACTGGCAATTGGGTGCTATATGGATTTTTGGCTGCTGGAAGTCACTGCAGCTCTGCTGGCTTCAGTCAGGGCCATTAGCAGGGACTGCATGTTGGGTCTGACTGTGTGTGTAAGGGTGTGAAGGAGGACCTAAGCATCCTAAAAGCCATCTGCAGGAGAACTGACTTCTCTTGGTCTCAATGGCACAAAACAGCTTGCTGGCAATCATTTTTTTTGTGCAGATATTTGTCAGTTTCAGATATTATGCAGTTAGGCAGGAATTGTCTCTTCTCACACACGGTGTTCTCCTGGTACTGTTACTGCTGATGAGACAGGAAGAGTAAATAGTTGGTATCAAATACTGACTTTTTAATTGTGTTCTGTGCAAATGTGAGATTCCAGGTATTGTACTTACCTTTACTTTGATATATGCCCAAACTTTTATCTTCTTGACAGAACTGAAACTTGCATGTTAGTTCTAGGCTAGCACACCCGATTAAGCTTGTTTTCATTTCATGCTCTGGAAAGAATACCCTGAGTATGTTTGTGAATTTTACTCTCATAAATTAACCATGAAATTCACCTTTTCTTTCTTTCTTTCTTTCTTTCTTTCTTTCTTTTTTTTTTTTTAAAGCTAAAGATGTTACTTACATCTGCCCCTTCACTGGAGCCATCAGAGGAACCCTTACTGTTACCAATTATAGACTGTACTTTAAAAGCATGGAACGGGTAAGCCTTTGTAACCATCTGCTTCTGTGGGCTGTTCAGTCTTGAGGACTTAGGTGTATTTTGGTTTGTGGTTTTTAGTGTAGTTGTGTGTGAATGATAGCTGTATGTTTGGGAATATAGGCATAAGGGAACAGGAGCTGGGATTTTCCCCCCTCCCCTTTTTAAACTCACAAATTTCAACTGTCTACAGGACCCTCCTTTTGTCCTAGATGCATCTTTAGGTGTTATCAACAGAGTGGAGAAAATAGGAGGTGCTTCCAGTCGTGGTGAGAATTCCTATGGACTGGAGATTGTGTGCAAGGTAAACATTTATGTTTTACAGTGAGAGAAAGGGAAAATGTATTTTAAAAGATTTTCTCTATAATATTGTAAGAAGTTCTGGAAAACCTTTCAGTATTATTTCATGCACTTCAAAAATGTCTGATTTTGAAAGTCACTTCGAGGACTCTCTAGCTCCACTCATTAGAGATGAGATCCAAACCTTTTTTAAGGCTTTGTGCTAGGTAGTATCTTTTCTCTTCATAGCGGAAACCGAAGTCTGTATCACAGTAGTGCAATCCTCAAGTCTTTCACATTGCTTACCAGGACATCCCAAGAGGACTCTACTCATTGTGCAGTATGGGATGCCTTCAATGCGATTGCACTTCAAGAGTAAAAAAGGGGTTCATGATTCTCTCAAGGTCATTACCTTGTGTCCAGCTGCTGCTGTGCTTTGTGGTGAGGAACTGGAGAGTAACCTTCAGTTCCCCTTGAGGCTACTCTTGCATTTCTTTCAAGGTAGTAAATTTTTAAAGTGTGCCTCTCAGGAGCTGTTGGAGTCACTGAAAATGCAAACTGTAGTGGAAATAATTAGTTCACCTCCTAGTGTTTACTTACTGTAGACCCCGAAGCAGATAAGGGCAACATCTGTTGTCCTAAAATCCATACCTCCTCTGTTCACCAAGGCACAACCCCTTTGCTTTTCTCAATGGCAGCTTGGGGAGAGCTAGATTCTGAACCTCGAAGGTCTTAGGATGTTACTTTCTGCTTGAGAGCAGATGGATGCATGAAGATGAGTCCCAAGCAGTGCTGGGCACTGCTGTGATTTTGGGGCACCAGGAAGCTAAGCAGACTCTCAAGCTGTGGGCATGCTGAGTCACAAACAGTTGATATAGCCTGTACACAATCACCCAGCTGCTTCCTCAGCCTACTGTAGTTGTAATCCTCCGAGGCTACCATGGGGGTGCCTGTGCTGGCAGGCCAATTTGTTCCCTGTTCTGCTTTGGATTCTTTGTCCTCAGCCATGTTACCCATATGCAAACTTGCTTACACAGGCAGGTTTAGAAGGAACTGTATTATTACCCTGGATGGGAAACTCAGGCGCAGACTAAAAGATAGATTTCTTGGTACTACACAACATACATATATATTGCAGCCCACTTGGCCCAGGGAATGCACAGCAGTTTAGTACACATAGAGCTTATGCATTATGAAATTTTGTGTGAGACCTGTCACCTCATCTCAGTCTTGTTAGACAGTCTTTGCCATTTTCCTAATTCTCTGACTTCATGTACTTGACCTTGATGGTTCACTTCCTGCTGGTGGCTGTTAAACTGTTTACTACAAATGTTTGAGTTTGTAGACCTGAGTGGAAAATCATGGCAGTATAGAGATGCTTTATTTAGTTCCTCAATTTAATTTTGTAGATGAGTACAGGAAAGATGTCCTGGGTTACCCCTCGTTGTGGAAACTGCTGCCGTGCAAAGTGTTCTCAGTTTCGCTCAGCCTTCTGAGTGCTCTGAGTTGCAGGTTTTAAGGGGAGCTGGCATTTGTTACTTTGCACTATCAAAGTAGCTAGCTGGGCTTCAGCTTCCAACGTGCAGTAGCTCTATGGAGATGCTCTGTGAGACTGTCCCTTCCAGTAGTGTTCTAGCACAGCTCAGCTTGGGAGCACAGCAGGAGCTGTCTCGCAAAGTCCTGTCAATCTGAGATAGTTGTCCATAGGTCTCTCCCCTAGACTTTTAGCAGGTAGGGAGCTTCATTTGGAGGCAAGGTACTGCCCATGCACTCCCTTTACTCCCTTGTGCTTGTGGCAGGCTTTGTGAAGGCTACAACAGGTCATCAAGCCAAATCCAGAGCTGCTGTATGACTCTGATCAACGTGCAATACTAAATCAGTACTGTAAAGAACATCATGATAGAACATCGTGATGTGACTTTTGTTTTGAATGCTGACTTTTGGAGTTCTGTTGGATGTTAAAATGGTTTAAAACCTACAGTTTGATTTCCTTTTTTTTTTATTAGGACATTAGAAACTTAAGATTTGCTCATAAGCCTGAAGGGAGAACTAGACGATCCATATTTGAGAACCTAATGAAATATGCTTTCCCAGTTTCAAATAATCTTGTAAGTATGTTTGGTTTTATTTTGTTTTCTTCCCATGTTGTTACCAAAAGGTGCAGAGTGGCAGTGAACTGTTTTGTTGAGTTTCACCTCCCAGGTGGAATATTCACATGATGTGTTTTATGTTGAACAAGATGAAATGCTGGTTTTAAACCTGTCTGAAGATTAACTCAGTCAGAATTGTATAGGAAACAGGAAAAGTCTACTACCATTGGGCTGGGTTACTTTGTTAATGAGGAATAACTTTCTGATTGTCCTCATAGTGGATGTAAAATATTCCAAACACAGTGACATCCATCAGAGGTTTACAGCTAATGGTGACTGCGCTGCTTCCAAACCTGAAATGCAGTTCATCTGTTCAGTCATTTTGTGACTCTGCAGTTGTTGCTTCAAATACTGATTGAGTCATACAATCACTGGATGGTTTAGATGGGAAGGGACCGCCTCTGGATCCATCTGATTCAACCTTCCTGTTCAAGCTGGGATACCCATGTTGCCTGGGATCATGATCATGGAAGGATCCAGTTTTTAATATGTAAGAGTGTTCTTGCACAAGTAGTCTTTTCTTTCTCTCTTATAACAGAGTTCTTTTGTCCATGAAGTACTGGGTGATAGACAAGAAAGACTGGGGTAGAGTGGTATAAATGCTGTTGAAGAAATGACCTCCTACAGTCAGTGTGTTGATTTTTTTAACAAAACCTTAAAAGAAAAGTAATACAGTAGGGGGAAAAAAAAAGGACCCATCAAGGATTCTTATTTTAGATGTTAAGCATCCTGGAAATGGACACTGAATGGGCTCTTAATGGCACATTTTCTTTTTCTCAGCCGCTTTTTGCATTCGAATACAAAGAAGTTTTTCCAGAAAATGGATGGAAGGTATATGACCCTATTTGGGAGTACAGAAGACAAGTGAGTATTGTGTCATACCCTTCCTCATCCTCTCTGTTCTTCAGAAGTGAGGCTCTGTGCAGCAATATAGAATTACAGGTTGTGTGAACAGAGAATGATCCTACTGACAAATGTCTCGCAGACCGGAATAGGACACTGTTCTCCATAGTGCAGTGATTGATGATGGCAGTTTTAGGGATAGTAGCATCCACTGATGAGAGATTATTCAGGCAGCAGAAAGATTGAAAGATTCAGGAGAGCTGGGCTGAAGCCAATGGGATGAGTTTCAACAAGGCCAAATGCCGGGTCCTGCACTTCGGCCACAACAACCCCAGGCGACGCTACAGGCTTGGGGCGGTGTGGCTGGAGGACTGCGTAGAGGAAATGGACCTGGGGGTATTGATTGATGCTCGGCTGAACATGAGCCAGCAGTGTGCCCAGGTGGCCAAGAAGGCCAATGGCATCCTGGCTTGCATCAGAAACAGTGTTGCAAGCAGGAGCAGAGAGGTGATTGTTCCCCTGTATTCAGCACTGGTGAGGCCGCACCTCGAGTACTGTGTCCAGTTTTGGGCCCCTCACTGCAAGAAAGATATTGAGGCCCTGGAACGTGTTCAAAGGAGGGCAACAAAGCTGGTGAGGGGTCTGGAACACAGGCCATATGGGGAGAGGCTGAAGGAGCTGGGAATGTTCAGCCTGGAGAAGAGGAGGCTCAGGGGAGACCTCATTGCTCTCTATAACTTCCTGAAGGGAGGTTGTAGTGAGCTGGGGGTCGGCCTCTTCTCTCGTGTCATTAGTGATAGGACCAGGGGGAATGGCTTCAAGCTACGGCAGGGGAGATTCAGGCTGGACATGAGGAAGTATTACTTTTCAGAAAGGGTGGTCAGGCACTGGAATGGACTGCCCAGGGAGGTGGTGGAGTCACCGACCCTGGGGGTGTTCAAGGAAAGACTGGATGTTGTGTTGAGGGACATGGTTTAGTAGGAGCTATTGGGAATAGGTGAACGGTTGGACTGGGTGATCTTTTAGGTCTTTTCCAACCTTGGTGATTCTATGATTCTATGATTCTAAGATGACTTTAGGTTTTGGTAGGAAAAAAGGCTATTGCTTTGTCATCAAATTGTGCTGGTGGTAAGAAACTGACGCTGGTATTTTGCACTTGTGGGCATCTCATTGTTGAGTTTCATGCCTCTATTCTTGCTTCTATTAGTCTTAATTATTTTCAGCTTTCTCTAAGATATCTCAAACAAGAACTGGAGGGAGGAAACAAAATCTAAGTGTAGAATGCCTTCATTTTTCTGGGGAGTCAGAGTAGAAGGCAGTCTGAAGAGCAGACAGTTTTAATGTGTCCAGAATAGACTGGTCAGAGGGTTTTAATGAGCACAAAGTGACAGGCTGTCAACTGGAAATACCAGGCTAAAAAGCTGAGTGCATCTCCCTAGGAAAAAAAAGACGGGGGATTTTTTTAATTTTGTATTTTTAACAACAAAATAGCTCTTTTCCTGCAGTGTTCAAATTGAGGAAACAACAGTTTGGTGATGATTCTGTTCTGGATACAGTAAACTTCTGCTTCATCCAGATCTGTCAGGATAAAGTCAATTTTCCTGTGTAAAATGAGGTTGTTTACAAACATATAATTTAAAGCTTTATTTGGATCTTTCCCATAAAACAAAATAAGGCAAGACCTATGTCCCAGTGTTGTTCATCTGATTCCTGACATCTGAAATCTAAAGAGGGAATCCATTTTACTAGCTTTAGTCTTCTAAAATCTGGGCATGCTTACTAAATTGCCTATCTGTGCCTATCATTAACAGATGGGCAGAGAGAGCTTCACTGTTGGAGGTGATTTGTTCCCTTCTAAAATAGCTACCTAAGATAGATCACTGTCTTCTAAATTGCTATTTGAAAGTGAGATGTATCATGCCCCCACTGTCTTTACTGCAAAAGAAAAATATATGTTTTGCAGTGATACTACAATATAAAACCCCAAAAGAAACAAATTCTCATGTGATCAGATTGACTTTGACTTGTTAGGCCAGATATTTGCAATCAAAATAATCTCAATTGAAAAGCACTGCATTCATTCAGCTAAGCTGCAGATAAAAAAGATGAGGCACAGAGGACATTTGAACAAAATCTGGATAGAAGAAAATAATTTCAAGTTATTAATATAATTAATATAATTAATCCAGTTTCTCAATCCTGGTGAGCTTAGAGTTTTTAGAATGTAGGCTTTCTGTTCATATTACCTTTTATACTGTGACTCTCAGTACCTTAAATTTGCCATGGGCTTGGTTGAACAGTGGAAAGATACAGAGATTTACGTGTAGGTGATTTTCAGCTTTTCTTGGCCTTTCTGCAGAGCAGATGAGACTCAGGGTCTTGGAGTCCTGAGGTGGCAATACAGCGTGTTGGTATGTTGTTGTGACATTGCTGCAACATGAGCTGCTTTTGTAATGACTTTTGCTCTTGCATCATTTTTGACTGGACAAGAAAAGCTTAGCCTGACTGCTTTTCTGTCAGGAAACCAAACTGCTGTCCAGATGCTAACACCATCAATAATTTGCTTGCATTGATAACTGCAAAAATGAATCCAAATGAGTTTTGTTTGCAGCCATGGCCTATCTGAGCTTTACACATGCTGGACCACCATCGTTCCCATTCCAGATCACACAATCTATCTGTCCCAACAGCTTATCTCCAGAAGTGACCAACGCCAGCTGCTGAAGAGGCAAACCATGCTGCAGTAGGCGTTTGTGTTGTAATCTGGCCAGGAGGAGACTTTCATCCCTTTCATTATAATTGATTTAAGTCCTGCAACATGAAGTTTTATGTCCTCTCCAAAACTTTAAGATATTTCAGTCTGTTTATTTAATTTTGGCATTTATAACTATGGATGCTCAATTTATCTGTGTGAATGTCTTAGCCTTCTTTTCTTTGTCCAGCCAGGTTCTGTTAAAGCAATAACTGCTACAACGGTAAATCAGGATTATGTCCTGAAATGGCAGCAGGGATTCGTTAACAGTGAAACAAAACTGGCATCATCTAATCAGATAATGGGATTACCTGTCTCTGAGTGTATAAATTATGATCAGAAATAGAAAAGCAGGACATGTGCGCTTTCTGCTGGACCTTTTGGAATTGGTTTAAAAACTAATACAGAAGAGCTGGCCTAGGGCAAAAGCGACCCAGCGAAACAGTCAGGCACTAACTTGGGGCATGTTGGGCAAAGCCACTCATTTCCCTGTGGGAGCAGGAACGCAGAGAGAGGGGAGCAGAGCAAAAGCAGAAGCCAACCACAAGGCATCCAGAAAAGAACTTTTTGATGAGGCTCCATGGTAAGATCTATGTCTGCACTGGTAGACATGGCAAGGTCTGTGTGTGGTATCAATTTTTTTTCAGAAAAGTGTGTTGATATGATAGAGATTGTAGCAATTAGGGCCTTACTGAATGTCTTTCCTTACTTTGCTGCTAGTGTTCTTGGGAAGGATGGAAATATGTAACTTATTAAAAATCTGTGATTGTGCAAAACTATGGGGAGTAATAAACAACCTGTGGAGAACAAAAGGAACTTAGAGAGGTTTGGGATTTAGTCAGTAAATGGAATCACATGTGGCAAATGAAATTTAAAACTGAAATTGCTCCCTGATTTTTATTACACGCGGGCTGGCAGAGTATAAAACAGAATTGCAAAGTGAATAAGGCTCAGTTGAAACCAAAAGGCCTTGAGATGCCTTTGGAGTAACTTAAAGCTTTCATTTTCCTTAACAAGGTGGGGAGGATTTGGAAAATATTACAAGTGGTTGTGAAGCTGGAAATGTGTGATGTTTCCCTACAGAAGTCTTGCTTGTCTAATTCTATGCTCTGGTCTTAAGTACCACAGAGCCACAGTACAGGGCTGTGGTTGCTGCTTTCTGAAAAAGCATATAGCAGTGAATAACTTAGAAGAGAAGCTGAAAGTACCAAGCATTAGTTCAAGCCAGAGTAGGAAAGGTAAAGTATAAGAACGGAGACCTACAGGGGAACATTGGGTACATTTCGGAGAGGATAAAGAGAATTGAATTGTTAAATGTCCCATGTTTTAACTGCAATCCTGCTTACGTGAGGTATATCTCTGCTGCAAAAAGGACTGTCACTTCCCTTGTGCTAAGGGACGACAGTGTGGGCTGAGCACACAGCTGGAGGGACCAGCTTGGCTCTGGCAGCTGTAGCCTGCGTTGGTGCAGGTATGTGCATGAGCTGAAATGTTCAGCTGCTTGATATCTCCTGGGCCAAATCCATTTTGGGAGAGGAAGGGCTGTAGGTAACTTAGGACCCTTCTTGCCGTGCCTGCTGCAGATGCATGGGCTAAGCTCAGAATCAGTCTGCTAGGTCTAGTAGAGAGAGATGTCTTGCAAGGACCTGATGTTTTTTCCAGTCAGTGAAAGATCACCATGTGTTTAAATTTAAACACGCGTGTATGCTTTGCAAGGTGCTGATTTCAGTGCTGTGCTGGCTTGTCTTAGCCCTTGTAACTTGCAGATGAAGTGAACCCAGTCTTCTCAACATGTAGGTTAAGTGATAACTGAGCCTGGGTGATGAAAGTAAGGTGTGAATGACTAGCCAGAGGGAAATTGAGTTTTCTTTGTGCGTGGAGATGACACAGTGACTGTGTCTGTATGGTTGGATGATGTGGCCATAAGGAGTGCTCCCGAGCACTGCCTTCATTGCAAGTTCCAGGCGTGGCTTCAGTCATTCTTTTGAGTGAGTGTATTTGAGCATTTTTTACCATGCATGAGGAGGCTGTGCCAGTGGACTGAAAATATAAACTCACTGGCTAGCACTTGGATTTAACTAACTACTGGGCTGAGCATTAATTCTTACTCCAAAGAAGCCATCAGTGGAGACTTTCTTGGCCAGGCAGGTGTATGTGAGAGAAGAAGGATCAGCCTATCTGCACCTTCCTTGGTTGAGTCGCTGTTGCTTTCTTCTACCAGTAATGCCAGCACCAACACACAGGATGACTGAGTTGTTGGCCTTCGAACAATGGCTGCCCACTTGTTTTTTCCTTTAGGATTTTACATCTTTTCGTGGTGGTGTTATATCTCTTCAAACCATGAGTTACCAGTGATCCCCATCTCAACAGTCTTCTTTCTGTATCTATAATTTTATATTTCTTATCTTTCTGTAGATTTTCTCACAGCACTTCCTCATAACTTTGCCAGTCTGAGCTACAGATGTGCACTAGGCCCTGGGAGAGGTGACTTTGAGCCATGATGGAACAGAGTTGAGAGAGGTTTGGAAGGCCAACCTGCCTTCTCCCAGACCATTATTGGGTACAGTTCAGAGGCCGCTGCAAGCCAAGGATCACAAGTAGACTTACAACTTACCAGTAAACAGTGAAATGCATCTTATATGAGGAAATGCCAGTGTGCTTTATATTGTGTTTTTTTTCTATTGATTCCAGCTGGAAAAATTGCAAATCTGAAGCAACATGAGTAATTGCACCACATTGTAGCAAACGTCCTGGGAAGATGCAAGTTCAGCTCTCTTCCAGACTACTTTGCTTATTTCTGCTTGCTTCGAATCCTTAGGGGAAGTCACAGTCTGAATCCAAAGTCTTCTAAGGGTGGTGCTCTGATTCAGGACGTTCCCTGTGATTCAAAGGAAATGAAAAGCTCAGTGACATGCTCCCTCTTTTCTTTCTCTGGGGGTTGTCATGGATTTTCTTGGCCTGGGTTATTGCAGATGCAAAATTTCATTTGGCAGAAAAAGTGTCTGTAAGACCTTGAGCTTTGGAGGTGGCAGTTCTGGACTAAGCAGTGTGCACTGAAGCCAGTCTTCCTGGTGCAGTGAAGATGCTTTACATTGCTTAATCTTTTCAGTGAGTTTCAGTAGAAGATACAGAATACATTGCAGCACAGTCACATACTCATTAGGATAGGACTGAGAACAGTTTTAGAATGGGACCAGGAGATCCCATCCTTTGTATGTACAGCAGGTGGGCCTCTGAGCATGCTGTACCCATCAGTAAGCTTGAGCTGTGTGCATACACAGTTTGTTTATAGTTTCTGCAACTTTGTTTCAGACAGCACCAAAACCATCTTCCTCCAAGTTTTCTGTGTACTCATGATCCTGATGGCTTTGCTAATTCCTTGTAGTAGCATTTCCTTCCCAGGGTGTGCCCCAGGACCAGAGGAGGTTCACAGGCTGGGTGTGACCAGTATTAGGCACAAGGTCTGTCTCCTCAGATTTCTGAGGGTGACCTGTTCTGACAGCGTGACTCACGGCTCTGCTGGGGAACTGGATGCAGTCTGTGTGGGTCAGCCGTATGACTGCAGCTCATCTGACTTGCGTTAGATTTGTCATTTATTTCCTGTGGGAGCCATGGCAGGGGAAACCAGTCACCCGCCACCTTCCTTGAAGTGAAATACTATTTTTAAGAACAAAAGCGTGTATTATTTTAAAAGCTGATCTCTCTCTAAGACTGACTGCCTAGCAGCCTGCCCATATTCACAGAGGACCTGCAGTAGATCTGTATTCTCACAGCCTTCTTCACTGATGCTCAGTGTCAGCACTCACCCTGCTGCAGCATGTGGCTGTTTAAATCTTTCCTTGCAGGCATTACAGTAGCAGCCATTCCATTTTGACCTGTTGCCTCTGCACATTGGCGAAATAAGTCTACAGATTTTCAGGACCTTCACTCTTGTGCTTCAGCTGTGAGCTAGTGGTTGCTGTTCTGGACTGTGCTGAGTTGCTTCCTCCCAGGCACGCTGCCTTCAGTGGTGTGCTTGTGTGCACTCTGTGACTTCTCCTCCATCCTGTCTGGTAGCTCTGCTTTCCATCCCCAGTTGCCACCCAGCCTGTTTGAGCTAAGTGCTGCCAGAGAAGTGGGGGCTGACAGTCACTGCTGATGCCCTGCTCCTTGCTCACCTGTAACACCATCATGGAAGCAGAAGAGATGTTAAAGAAGCCCTTGGGGGACCACCTCATCTCTTGCTTCATCTGCAGCCTCTACGGTTCATTAATCCTGGACAAACCATCCTGCAGTCCTCTAATTTTCTTTTGTCTTCAGCAACCTGAGCAAAACATCTGCCCATCCAGAAAGGGGCATGAAATGCAAGTTGCCAAGATAATGCAATCCTGGGGTCCAGCTCTAAATGCCCTTTGTTAACCAAAGTTGCCTTGGATTTCAGGTCTTGGAATTTAACTGTGGTGAAGCCTCAGAGCAACTTGTTTGCTAATCTGCTGTTGTTTCCTCTTAAGGGAATTCCCAACGAAAGCTGGAGGCTGAGCAAGATTAATGAGCGCTATGAGCTGTGTGATACATACCCTGCCATTTTAGCTGTGCCCGTAAACATTCCTGATGAAGAATTAAAGAGAGTGGCATCTTTCAGATCAAGAGGACGAATACCAGTGAGTGTGACAAAAAAAGCCACTTTGATGTGGTTTTGTTACATACCTTTGGGCCATAAATAATGCTAAGATCAGGTTGAGTGGATTCCAGGGAGCAAATAAATGGTCAATGGATAATAAAAGTGACAGCAACATGTCTGAGGAGTTAGAAAACAGCATTATCTGCTGGAACTACTCTTGTGAAAGAGATGTAGACTAAACGAAAAGGAGAAGATAAGATAGCTTAGCACAGTCCAGACTGAATCTCAGTTCAGTTCCTGGGACACACAGTAGCCCTATTTGGTTGTTTGCTGTTGTCTGGCCTCCTCTGACACTCGAGGACAGAGGAATACTTAACAGTACTCTTAGTGAAAATGTTTATTGCTTCAAACTAAGACAGAAGACAGCAATATGATGGCTATTGCAGCAGCAACTGAAAATGTACTTTTCCCTCTCATGCTTACAGAAAATTAAATCTGTTCCAAGAGTTCTTAACTTTGACATGCTGAAACATAAGGTGAGACATAGCCCAGTGACGGCAGACTGTGAAGGTGTTTTTGTGACTCACACAACTGTGAGAAAGCAGTCAGACTTAATCCTGTTCAATCACCTCTTGTTTGTTTCGACTTAGGCAGTGTAACCAGAATGAATAAGTGCAGAATGAATAAATGCAGTACATTTGGTTCATTTGATCATGGCTTAATAAAATCCAGCCTTTTGGAACCAGGTAGTGTAGGGAAAGCTCCCAGAACAAGCCATTGTAGGTAGAACACTCATTTAATGAATCCTTATTGTCCCTCATTTCTTTTTCATTTGTTTCTGAAGGTACTGTCATGGATTCACCCAGAAAGTCAAGCAACAATTACTCGCTGTAGCCAGCCAATGGTGGGAGTAAGTGGCAAACGAAGCAAGGAAGATGAAAAGTACCTACAAGCCATCATGGATTCTAATGCTCAATCCCATAAAATCTTCATATTCGATGCAAGGCCTAGTGTGAATGCTGTAGCCAATAAGGTCAGCTTTTTTGTTTCCTTTGACAAGAGTTGTGAATCCAGTCATTTAGAACACACATCACACCAACATTTCAAATTATTCCTGAGAATCACGAAGGGGTTTCCGCTGAAAATACACAGAGAGTGATCTGATTAATTAGTCAGACTTCTGCACCTGCGCTAGTATCAGTAGATATCATAGAATCATAATCATAGAATCATGGAATGACCTGGGTTGAAAAGGACCACAATGATCATCACGTTTCAACCCCCTGCTATGTGCAGGGTCGCCAACCAGCAGATCAGGCTGCCCAGAGCCACAGCCAGCCTGGCCTGGGGGGATGGAGCATCCGCAACCTCCTTGGGCAGCCTGTTCCAGTGCTTCACCTTCCTCTGTGTGAAAAACTCCCTCCTAATATCTCACCTAAACCTCCACTGTCTCAGTTTAAAACCATTCCCCCTTAATGCATAACTTGAAATGAGATTAAAAGGGAAAAATCAAGTCCAAAAGATGAACAGGATACTGAGGTCAGCAGTATATGACAGACAGACTCCAGCATGCTGGATTTGATGCATCACCGTTTTTCAAATCACATGATTGGAAATCTGCTTCCTCTGAGAGTTTGAGAACTCCTGTTAAACTTGATGGGAGCAGGGAATGCTGATCTCTTCTGAAGATAAGGCATTGTGATCTTTAATTTCAGAACATTACCTCGTGTTCTCTAATGTCCAGAAGTATCACTGTTGTGATATTTCTGCTGTTGTGTCTCATGCCATCACTCTGAGCCATGTTGTAATGGTAGAACTACTTTGCTGCAGAAAAACTGATTTTTTTTTAATCTGTCTTTTCCACTACTTAAGAAAGGCAATTACTGTGTGGGATATACTCCTCTATAATAGTATGGTAAATTTGTAAATGACAGAATAGCAAATCTAATGAGCTAGCAGCTTGAATGGGGATAAATGATAATTACTGAGAAAAAGAAAGCTTGTAATGTGATATTATTCAGTGAAAATTACAGCATTCATTACTGTTGCAGGAAAGAGACACAAAATGTGTCCATGTATATATTTGTACTCAATTGTAAGATAAATCCAGTGCTTTAGATAGCATAGACACTGTGCTATTTTGTCAGCTCATATTTGCTCATACAAACTATTGGAATAAAATATCAAATATGCTTTCACTTAGTGATTTTAATGCTTTTTTTTTTTTCTTTTTTTTATTCTTCAGGCTAAAGGAGGAGGCTATGAGAGTGAGGATGCCTATCAGAATGCAGAATTAGTGTTTCTGGACATTCACAACATTCATGTCATGAGAGAGTCCCTGAGAAAACTGAAAGAAATTGTGTATCCCAATATTGAAGAGACTCACTGGCTGTCTAATTTAGAATCAACTCATTGGCTAGAGCATATCAAGGTATGCATGTCTGCATCCACTGGATGAACTGAGTTTGTACCATTCTGTCTATTGGGAAATGCCACTAGAACTAACTCCAGTGACAGATCCTCAAATAATAAGAAATTTAATTATTTAAGATGAAAATTCAATAATTTCCAATTTAAAAGCAACAAAAATACAGTGTCTGGGGATGGGGAATTTAGAAGAGATGGCAAAGAGTACCAGAGAGGGGGTGACAAAACATTGAAAGATGGTGTTTTGGAAGCATACTGTATTTCTGGGTAACATGTAACCATGAAAGCACTCCTGAGAACATAGGAGTCTGTTTCCAACCTCTCGGCTCTGGGATCCTTGCCATCCAGGTGTTGCTGCCTGGCCCAGATCAGCAGGTGTTGGGTGTTGATGCCTTCTCAGCCTTTCAGGAATTGGAGCAGAATCAAAATGAATGGGGCAGAACGCTTCAGCTTGTACAAATGTTCATCTTCAAACTAAGCTTTCTGTCCTAAAAAATGTACAGCTTACACTGTCTGTCAATTAATACAGAAAGAACTTGTCCTGCTTCTCAAGCAATTGGAAGGCAGCAGCCATTTTGAGATACAGAATGCTCCTGAGCTGAAATCCTGGCCTCTCCAAGGATGGCTGAGCTTAATGCAGGGTTTTTTTTACAGGGGTGCCTGCATTATGGCTTAGATGTGAACACATTTTTTGTAACGATGACACCAATTTGCTGCCCTAGTTATAAAGAGGTTGGAACTGATTTACCATTCTCCTTGAGGCACATAGAGCCCTTGGTTTGTCCTATGCTGTCAGTAGCTGTTTGTCATGCATAGTTTCTGTTCCAAAGACATTTTTGTAACTTTCTTTTTTCTTGTCCCAGCTCATTCTTGCTGGAGCCCTGCGAATCGCCGACAAGGTGGAGTCAGGGAAGACATCTGTGGTTGTGCACTGCAGTGATGGCTGGGACCGGACAGCCCAGCTCACCTCTCTCTCTCTGCTGATGTTAGATGGCTACTACCGAACCATCAGGGGCTTTGAAGTGCTGGTGGAGAAGGAGTGGCTGAGCTTTGGACACAGATTTCAGCTGGTGAGTTATGAGCCCTTGGAAAGCTCGTAACACAGAAAGCTTTTGTATACCTTGAAGGGATTTTCAAAGGAGTTTAGCCTTTTCTGTGAGAAGTCTCCTAGCTGAACTTGCAGAAGAAGGGTGAATGCTACTGCTCCTGTTTTCTGTCTATAATGGCTATCATGTCTTAACCTCCTTGGAGACAGCCTTGCTTAGATAGGAGGAACAGGAAGTATTTACCTTCTCAGCTCCCATGCTCAGTCTTTAGCAGTGTGCTCTGGGTTCAGTATAAGCTGGGAATTGGCAAAGAGTGGGGTGTTTTGTTTGTGTTTTCAGTTCAGTCCATTTTTTAAGGCTGCCTGGACGTTGTCAACAAATACCTTAGTACTGAAGAGGTTGGGGAATTTTGCAGTGGCCTTGAGCTCACATTTTCTTTGGGCACATTTTGCTTTTGGGGAAGCTTTTAATGTTTAGGCAAAAGACCAGCAGTTTGAGATCATGGATGTGTGCAGAGGGGCAGCTTTGTGAACCTGTGACTTGGCTGTTTGTCATGATTTATACTGGGGGAATGCTTCAGTAGTGTCCATTTGGTCTTTGTTCCTATGGTGTTTTGATTGTAGCTGTTCTCCTGCGGTTGTTTAGTTTGGCAAAGGCTAGAACAAGGTTTGTTTACAGCAGATGCAGTGGTGGTAATTTGTGTAGTCAAATGCTGTTCCCCCCCCTCTGAAGAAAGTGGTATAACTGAGGCACTGTGTAATTAAGGTTCTGCTTCAGCAAAACCATTACCTGGTGTATGCACTATGAGGATTCTTACTTCCCTGTCTGTACAAAGGAGATAATGATACTGATTTCCTCTGCTGAGAGGACAACAGTGTTACAAGAAGAGGTAACTACTTTACCTCCATGCTCTTGTTTGGTCTTTGTACAGAGCTTAGAGCTCATGGGTAATGTATAGCACTAATGTACTGTCTAATAGTAAGGAATCATGCCTTGCATTCCTGTCCAGGGCCACACAGCGTGGTCGGGGTTGGAGGCCTACTTCTGGGATACTTTCTTAATTGCATCTCTTGAGGTGGCAGGAGATGGGCTGAGTTAGTGTTTGTACAGCACTTGGAAGCTGTGAGGTGCTGTGTGACGGTTATCACCACATGCTGTGTCTGTAGGTAGTGTTTAGATCCAGCAAACTCTACTACTGAAGTAGCCAGGACGACAGCTGCAACTGAAGCAAAAAGCATTCTAATTTTTTTTCCTCTGAACTTTAGCTATTAGCTGAAATCGGTGCCAGCGTAGCATCTGGAGCCCTACTCAAACAACTCGTTTTAATTTAACATGAAAATATCATCATAAAAAAATTTGACTTCAAAGACTAAGGGAGTAGCTATCCTTTACTGCTTCACCCACTAATACGGAAGGAGCAAAATCAACTCATTTGAACCTGTTTGGATCTGTTGGTGCAGTCTTGTGTGACTGAGATGAGCCCCCGGCAGCTTCCCCATGAAACTCTGTGCATCTCATGTTCTTTGTTGTGCTCTGTTCCAGAGAGTTGGCCATGGAGATAAGAATCACGCAGATGCAGATCGCTCTCCTGTCTTCCTCCAGTTCATTGATTGTGTCTGGCAAATGACAAGACAGGTAAATTGCTGAGCAGCACGTCTGCAAGGCCACTGTACCACAGTGTGGCACAGGGTCCGGCCCTAGGACCCACACAGGCTCTCCTTCCTGGGCTTCTACTTTTGTTTTGTTGGACTCTGACAAGTGTCTTGACTGTCTCACTTTAGCAGGGAGCCTGAATGCACAGCTGTGCAGGAAGGCCACGATGCAGTCTTGTGTCAGATTAGCTGGCCAGTGGGCACTGCTTACATGAATGCTGCTATGGTAAATGTGAGCTTGTGAGAAGCATGTCACCCTGAAACAGAAAGGCAGTGTCTTCATATTTAGTGGGGTAGAGACAGACACCTCAACCACCCTTAATTAGCCCACAGTATCTTCAGAAACATGAGTAACTTGAGCTACTAATTTAAGTTTCTGGCATCGTGGATGCAGACATTTGCTTGCACTGATCCCATAAACAAACCTGCAGGGAATTTACTCTGAAGTGACATTTTCTGAAAACTGATACATTGCTCCTCGTTGATACTTGAATTATGGAGCCAGGAACTGCTCCTCAGTTTAGAAGAGATCCCCAATGGCTAGTGGGGGTTTTCCCCACAGCTGTGTGGAACCTGGGATTTCTTAATGTCTGCTGTGATCTCTGTACTGTATTTTAAAGCCAGTGTTAGCAGTGGTCAGGCAGTTCACTGAAAAAGATAGGCTCAACATGAACTATGATGGATGAAATGGGGAAAAAGATGCCACAATATATGAACCTGTGCTGTATCCAAGCAGAGAAAGGGGGAGAATTTACCACCCTCTAAAATCACTTCTATTCTGCTGTCCTCGGCATCCTGATGGTGAGGTGAGAACTGCAGCCAGTGCAGTCAGAGAAAAGTGTTTTCCAAGGGAGGAAGGCCTCCTGCTGTCCTCTCCATCTCTGCAGTATGCTACATGTATTCCTTTTGCCCCTTTGTGGAGCTCCAGTACTTCTCCCCATCATGGATCTGTCTGTATTTGTACATCAGCAGCAACCACAGCCCCTATCTGTACACCTCCATTCATCCCACTGATCTGTGTTGCATGGTGCCTCTCTGCTGTGCCCTCTGCAAAGCACTCTGTTGGGCACACACGTTGTTCCCATTTGGCCCCAGGGGATTTCCATTCCTTTATGCTTTATTTCACATATGCTCCAGCCTTTTGTTTGCAGTGTGGTTGAATGGTCTGTCATTGGGGGCAGGCACAGCAGAGCAAGCTTCAACTTGAAGCAGAACTGAATGTGTGTAAATACAGCAGTCAGACCTTTCATGCCTCTGGCTTTTGCTCAGAATACCTCTCTGCACATGTAAAGCAGCTTTCCAAGAGAGAAACTCTTGCTCCTGGGAGGAGCAGTTGTGACCCCAAATATCCAGCCAGCCGCAGAACAGAGGCAAATGCTATCTTAGAAATGAGAGGCAAGCAAGCTCCTTACCGCTGTGGGAGAAAGTTTGTGACTGTTGTAAAATCCCAACCCATTTTCTGGTTCTGCCTGAAGTTTCCTACAGCATTTGAGTTCAACGAGTATTTCCTGATAACCATCCTGGACCACCTGTACAGCTGTTTATTTGGGACGTTCCTGTGCAGCAGTGAGCAGCAGAGAATAAAGGAGGTAAGAGCTTCTCTCTGAGATGAAGACGTGATACTGTGATTGCTTTAGCTGGCCAGATGGTGCTAAAGAAATTGCAGCTGGTTGTAGGTACTGCCAAGCCTCCATCTTAACAGCTGGGACATTCGGGGTCTTTTCCACTTTGTGTCAGCTGCTCTCTGTGGGGATGTTACATTTCAGAGCACTACCCTTTTGCTCACACTCCCTCTTTTCAGTGAGTTCTTCAGCTACTTTCTGGTGGCTCAGCAGCTCCTGCTGTCTCCAAAGTAGTTGGAAATGCAATGTTTCTTTGACCTTTGGTTTAACATAAACTTATCTCTGGAAGCTGGTACCTTTTTCCCCTCCCTTTTCCTTTAGGTTTAAACTAATGAGCACATTGTCATTCTACACACATGGGTTACAAACAATAACAGGTCTCAGTGTGCGTTGTTGCAGTGCTTGCATTTTTCTGGGAGAGGACAGAGCTTCTAGTTAGAGAAAGAACGTGGCTCTAGGCCCTTCCATCAGCCAGCTCTGCCCTGCACTCTGATACAGGTTTGTTTGAGATTGGTTCCAGTTGGGTTGTGTACAGCTGTGCACCTTCAGATCCATTCGGCACTACCCTGCTCACCACCAAACTGAAGTCAGGCAGAGTGACACTCATTCTCTCCTCCCCATCGATGAAGGATGTTATCGCTGAAACATTGCAGCCTAACATCCCAGAGGACAGTGTTGTGTTTGACAGCACACTGATTAAAAAATAAAATATGAAACAATTGCTGTAATGCAGAGTGATAGCATTATACTGAAATCAGTCCCTGTTTTTTGAGTCCACAGCGCTTGAATTTCCAGAAAAGAAAACCTCATGCACTTTCCATTTCACTGGGACTATTCATGAGCCTAATTAGTTCACTACATCAGGACTTCAGTCACATGGATTTTTCTTTTTTCTTCCTCCCCCCCCAACCCATTACTTGCTCCAGCAAGTCCTCCGGGACCTCTTTAAAGAGGTGAAGTGTAACCAAAGCACCGAGAGTTCACATGCCAATTCTGAGCTGTGTCCCCTTGTGCCGATGGCAACTCTGGGGCCATGCTGAGAAGCACAGGGAGTTTCCATGCCAGGGTGTGTGCGTGCCTGCCTGCCTGCATTCATGTGCTTCGATTCCAATAACCACATCAAAAGAAGAATTCTTTTTAAAGCTACAAGAAGGCAACCAGATCTGTATTAATGACAGGCATATGTAATGCTGTTTAAGTACTCATAAATGCTAGTATGGGAATTAAAGCCTCCTCCAACCCTTCCCTTACAGAGCCTTCCAAAGAAGACCGTGTCACTTTGGTCTTACATTAACAGCCAGCTGGAGGACTTCACTAACCCCTTGTATGTGAGCTACTCCAACCACGTCCTGTACCCTGTGGCCAGCATGCGGCACCTGGAGCTGTGGGTCGGCTACTACATCCGCTGGAACCCCAGGATGAAGCCGCAGGTACAGCCTTGTTGCAATCCCTTCCACGGATCCTGCCTTCCTTTCCCTCTGTGCTTGTACTAATACTGTCATTGTGAAGCTCAGGGCCTTTAAAGCACAAGAAATAATGCTCAGATTTAAGCTGCCACTGCTTAAATCTAAAAACAAAAGCCAGAGTTAATACACAAGCAAATGAAAAGAGCAGCAAGTACAGATGGTGGTTAGCTGCAGATCGCCACCTTGTGAAACTTGCAGGAGCTGAAGCTGCTCCACAGTTTGTAAAATTTCATGAGGAGCACGAAAACCATCATCTGAAGAGTTTCTTCTTCAGAAAAGAACCTGAGAACTTAAAACATCTTTGGGTGTAGGGCTCTAGATCTGAGCTCAGGGGCTGCAAGTAGATTTCTGCCATTAAGAACCTGCTGCTTACTTCGGTTGCCTAAGGCCCAGGGGTGCGACCCTTGTTTATGGCCTTGAAATTTTACAGCAGGAGAACTGGCTTGCCCAAGGCAGACGCCTGAGAGGCGGCCTGAATGTGGCCCTAAATGCTTCAATCACTTTTATGTAGGAAGGGATAGAAATTCTCAGACAGTCTAACTGTAGTTAGCAGTGTTTTGCAGATCTGGAGCATTAGACACAGGACCCCAGTAAGTGCTTCTCAGTACTGTTGAACTGACTGTGTGAAAATATTTAGAAAAACATGTACTTTTCCTCAGAGTTCTGAAACTATGGCCAGACTGAGGTGCCAAGGCTGGCATCTCCCAGAAACAGCAGAGATTAGAGCTGTCACCTATCAAGATATACGTTAGGTTTTGTTTCTTCACTGTTACGCTGCATGTGTTGGGTAAAGCAGAAGTGCAAGATCGGTGGCACCATGATGAGGTTCAGGTTTGCACACTTGCCTTGCAGCTCTCAGCTCCAGCTTTTCTTGCAGGAGCCTGTCCACAACCGCTACAAGGAGCTTCTTGCCAAGCGGGCTGAGCTGCAGAAGAAAGTGGAGGAGCTGCAGAGAGAAATCACCAACCGCTCCACCTCGTCCTCAGAGAGAGCTGGCTCTCCCGCGCAGTGCGTCACTCCTGTACAGACAGTGGTATGAGCTGGACTTGTTTGCAGAGTTCCTTCCCAGGACCATCAGGACTGCTTTCCTGAACTCTCTGGATTTCCTTTGTAGTGTCTGGGGGATGCCAACCTATTTATTTATTTCTCTCCAGGGTAATTTATTAGTACTGTATCACTAACAGAAGCTTAAGCGAAAACAAACATAGCCCCCTATGCAATTAACCTTCTCAGTGGCTAGGTTATAACACAAGCCAATTGCACTTGCCACTTAAGAGAAACCTAGAGCTCTTTCCTTGTTCACTTACATGTTGGAAATCACCTCGGTTTACAAAAGGGACTGTGTGCTAGAGCTAAGTGCTATATAGGAAAAAAATGTTGCCTTGGGAGTTTGAAAAGGCCCCCCTTTGCTAAAAGAACTATAGTATCTCGCCGTGTGAAGTCGTGCAACTGCAGTATTAACAGATGCTTAGCAGTGTGAGAATATTTGCCAGCAAACCAAGGGAGGTAGCGCTAGAATCCAAAACGTATCACTGTTCTCACTTTCACTGGATTTTGGGAAGCCATGTAAAATGATGCCTTACATAAGAAGGACATCTTCTACCACTACACCACATGGTGGTAGAGGAGCAACTTACATGACTTAACTTTATAGGACAATGTTTACTTCCATCTCTGCAACTCTAGATTTTTGCTTATGGTTTACAGTGAGTGTGCCAGGATGTAAATTAAGCACCTTTATTTCAGAGGGAGGGAGCAGAGCATGGCTCCTCCGGGGCTTCCTGCAGCTCTTCTGTTCTCCAGTGCCTCATCCACATCAGGAGGAAGGTAGTGGAATGCCAAGGGGTGCATGTGAGCTGCTGGGATCAGTCATTCCATTTTGCTTGGGTAAGCATTACTTGTGAGTTTAATGCTTCTGTGCAGGACCATAGCAGCGTTTTTAAGGTATTTCAGCTTTCTGCTAACTAATGGAAGCAGCTGTAACAACCAAAGAAGCCTTTCTGCCTGCACCGCAACTGGTACTTAATATTCCAGTAGACTAAAAAGCATAGTGGTTTCTGTACCCAGGCTTTTAAGTCTTTTTTTTCATCATAGCATACTTCGAGACTAAACATAAATTCAATTTTAATACAAACTTTTATTGTAGGTTTTATTGTAGAAGTAGATAAACATTCAGTGAAACCATGACTGCTGCACTGCTTGTCAGACACGTAAGAGGCTGTAGGTGGCAGGGCTTCCAGTGAAGTTGTGTATCTGCAAGGAGCTTTGCTCCAGGCTGCTTCTTATCTCTGCACTGAGATCATGGCTTGGTCTGAGTTCCAGCATTGTTTTTGTACAATAGGAGCCATACTGTGGGCAGCTGCTTAATATACATATCATGCTTTTTCTCTCAGCCTTTCTCCCAAGACAGATAAATATTTCTTTGAGAGGATATAAGAGTGGACTAATTTACCCATCATTCTTTCAGAATCCTCCCATTCTTTCACAGGGAGGAATTATTTCCAGCTGCAGTCTATTTGTATGATTAACAGGCTGTAGATCATTGCTGCACTTGTTACAGTTCATATCTCATTAGGGCAAAGAATCCACTCAAAATAGCTTCTGAAAGACTTAAATTTGCTTTAAGGTTGAAGGGCAGAGTTACTGTTAAGTACAATCATTGTATAAGATGGGTCATAGTATTATTCTATATGAGCAAACTGACCACGTGTGTATATTTTGTTTTTTGGAATTAAGACTGGTTGGTTTAACACTAATAAAAAATGATAAGCGGATGAAGTTTTTCCTGCGCTCATGTTTTCTACTATGTGGTTATCAAAGCCAAAGCAGTTGTACACACACACTAAAACAGCACTGAATTTTGGATTTCACATGCTAGTCTTATTCATCTCTACTTGTGCAAATTGACCTGCAAGATGCTGTTGTTTGAACTCTGAAATGCAGAATGATAGGAAAGTAGATTACCTTTGGACAACTCTATCTGTACAGGATGACAAATAGTATTTAGCTGCACAGTATTAAAAAAATACTTTTACAGTGAAAAATAACCAATTTCTGCAGTTTACAATGCTTTAGTACAGTCACTTCTGTGAGAAAGGAACATTCACATTTGTCTATGTAACACAAGCTAAATCCAGCTTCGCTGAGATGATTTAGAATCAGCAATTCAAGGCATGCTCTGTGACACTCACTTGTAGTAGAAATAATTCCACCTTGGGTATCTCACTTGGAAGTCAATCAATCTAAGCCCTCTTCTGCATTTTCCAGTTCATCTAAGACAGCCTGACATAATTCTGACATTAATCTTCCCTTTGAGCAAGCTAATCTCCATCCATTGTTTCCATGGAAAATCTGTGATGATGGTTTCAGCCCCTGGTTGTCAGGACCCTCGAGGATGAGTTGATGCCCAAGTGATGCTCCAGCTACAAAAGCACATGTCCCCAGTTTAGTGGAGCCAGGTCACTCCAGATTGGTAGGCAGCTTCCAACTTCTCATAGCTAAAACTTCCTGTGTCTCAAATCATAGAATGGCCTGGGTTAAAAAGGACCACAAAGATCATCTAATTTTAACCCCCCCTGCTACATGCCACGTCGAGCCTGGCCTTGAATGCCTCCCTCTCCCTGCTGGCCACCCCTTTTTTAATGCAGCCCAGAACACAGTTGGCCTCCTGGGCTGCAAGCACACACTGCTGGCTCATGTCCAGCTTCTCCCCAAGTCCTTCTCCACAGGGCTGCTCTCAACAAGATTTTCCCTCAGTTTGTATGAATACCTGGCATTGCCCCAACCCAAGTGCAGCATCCTGCACTTGGCCATACTGAACCTCATTAGGTTTTCATGGGCCCACTTTTCCAGCCTGTCTGTGTCCCTCTGGATGGCTTCCCTTCCCTTCAATGTATCGACTGCACTGCTCAGCTTGGCGTCATCTGCAAACTTGCTGAGGGTGCACTTGATGCCATCATCCATGTCATTGATGAAGATGTTGAAGAGCCAAGACCAACCTGAGGGACACTGCTTGTGAGCTCCACCCTGACACAGAACCATTGATCACAACCCCTTGGCTGCATCCAGCCAGCTAATTCCTAATCCATCAAACAGTCCATCCTTCAAATCCACACCTCTCCAATTTAGAGAGAAGGATGTGCTGAGGGACCATGTCAAAGGCCTTGGAGAAGTCCAGGTAGATGACATCCACTGAAGCTGCCACTCCATCATAGAAGGCCACGAGATTGGTGAGGCACGATCTGCCCTTGGTGAAGCCATGCTGGCTTTCTATGGAATTACTATAAATGGGTCAGGGGGGAGAACATCACCCCCTTAGATAAAATGATCCCTGGACAGATCCCAGGGTTTGTGGAATCTCCCTATTACGAACTAGCAGTTATCATTGAAAAATGGGGTCCACTTCGTGTTATGGGAAATATCTCCCTATATCACATGGCAGATTACTTTCAAGGACTTAGCAAAGATGTACTGATCAATAATGAAAGACAATTGGCTGTCTCCACGATGGCACAGCCACTGTTAAATGCTTTAAATCATGATGAAATGAGGAATAATACTTTAGAGAATGAAAATCAACTTTTGAAAGACTGTATAGAAAAGTTAGAGCAAGAACTTGGCATATTAACAGGGAAGAAACCAATTCTGCATCTTCCAATAGATCAAGCTCATAACATTTCAATAGACAATGACCAGACTCCTGCATCAGGCTTCATTGATCAAGAAAATAAGAAATCTAAGTTAGATCTCCAACCTCCAATTTTGACAGATCCACTAGAAGTCCGTTCTGTCAGAAGTCTGTCCTGTCAGGGGTGCTGCCTGATCAGTGGCCCCCTGCCCAGACTCATCTGCACGTAACAGCCCGGCCATACACATATGGCCAAATAAATGGGACATACCTCTACATACAGGCATGTGGTCCTCCATGGAGGACCTTCAAAATTATATCTGTGAACTGGACGTAAGGGAAGCTATCCATGAAGACACATTTGATGGCACTGGTATGGTCAAATTCTCAGCAGGAATGAGAGACTCGATTCTACAGCAAGCTCCCTCTCATCTCTATGGTACTTTAGTCTCTATATTAAATCCCCTGGTGGCCTCAGAAGCCGTAGTCCAGCAGGCTGCCCAGTTAGTGGCCGACCTGGGAGAAACAGAACGCCTGCGGACTAGGTGCAACATTTGGATGTTGGAAGAAGCAGAGGTCCTGCCAGTAAGTAAAACCAAAATGCCGGCTACTCGAGCTCCTCGATCGGGACCCATAAGGGTCTCCTGAAAACAAATGTTTAATGATTTAATTCGGACTGGGGTCCAATTTGCTAACATTGACTGCCAGCCCAACCATGTCCTTCTCCAGCTTTGGAGACAACTAAAGGACAATCAAAAATTCCAGAACTACCCTAAGAAATCAAGGGTGAGGGTTATAGAGAGGGTTCCAACAACAACATGGAACCTAGAAGATTTTATTGTTCCAAACAGGAAAAAGAAGCCACCTCAGGTGTCTCGGGCCACAATGCCTGAGCCATCGGAAGCAAAAGATTTGGCCATAGCACAATTCATGGCGTGACAAGGGATGTTAGTCCCTGTAGGGTCTCCAGACAGGACCAGAGGCCCTATGTAGAATTAACGATCTATTGGTCCCGAAAAAATATTCAGAGAGTGATGGCAGTGGTAGACACGGGAGCAGAAACATCAATTATCTATGGAGATCCGGGGAAATTTGATGGCAACAGAGTGATGATTGGTGGTTTTGGGGGACAGACTATTCCTGTCATCCAAACATGGTTAAAATTGGGGGTTGGGCGTCTCCCACCCCGGGAGTACAAGGTGTCTATTGCCCCAGTCCAAGACTACATCCTGGGCATAGATATTCTATGGGGTCTGGCTCTCCAGACAACTGTGGGAGAGTTCAGACTTCGACAAAGATGTATCAGTATCCGGGCGGTGCAGGCAATATTAAGAGGCCATGCGAAACATGAGCCTGTTTGCCTGCCGAAACCACGCCGGATTACTAATGTTAGACAGTACAGACTCCCGGGTGGGCAAGATGAAATATCGAGAACGGTGCAGGAATTAGAAAAAGTGGGCATTATAAGACCTGCACACAGCCCATATAACTTCTCCCATATGGCCAGTGCGAAAGTCGGATGGCACATGGAGAATGACAGTGGATTACAGAGAACTAAATAAAGTCACACCACCTATTCATGCAGCCATATCCAGCATTGCCTCCCTAATGGAGGCATTGAGTAGGGAGATAAAAACTATCATTGTGTCCTAGATCTAGCAAATGCATTCTTCAGTATCCCAATTGCTGACGAATCGCAAGATCAGTTTGCGTTTACGTGGGGAGGCAGGCAGTGGACCTTTCAGGTCCTGCCACAGGAGTACATGCATTCACCAACGTATTGTCATAATCCAGTGGCACGTGACCTGGCTGATTGGAGAAAACCTGATGATATTAACCTATATCATTATATTGATGATCTCCTCACTGGACTCACTGGAGGCAGTAGGACAGGCAGCAGATTCATTAACTGCCTATTTACAACAGAGGGGATGGGCTATAAATCCCCGAAAGGTTCAAGGTCCGAGCCTGTCTGTAAAATTCCTGGGGGTGGTTTGGTCAGGAAAAACCAAAGTGCTACCCAGTGCTGTTATAGATAAGGTTCAATCATTCCCAGTCCCTACATCATCAAAGCAGCTGCAAGAGTTTCTAGGTATATTGGGTTACTGGTGTTCCTTTATACCTCACCTAGTGCAGCTGCCACTGTATAGACTTGCAAAAAAGGGGCAGCTATGGGACTGGGGGAAAACAGAACAGGACGCTTTCCAACAAGCAAAACTGGCAGCTGAACAAGCCCAGGCATTGGGTGTGTTTGATCCTACCCTCCCAGCCAAGTTGGACGTTCATGTTACTCAAGACGGTTTTGGTTGGGGCCTGTGGCAACGCCAGAGTTCCGTTTGGATCCCCACTGGTTTCTGGTCTCAGGTCTGGCATGGAGCAGGAGAAAGATACAGTATGATTGAAAAACAGTTATTGGCTGCCTACTCTGCATTACAAGCAGTAGAGCCAATAACTCAAACGGCTGAAGTTTTAGTTAAGACCACTCTGCTGATTCAGGGGTGGATGAAAGATCTGACTCACCTTCCTAAGGGGAGGTGCAAGCACAAACAGTGACACAATGGGTTGCCTACCTCAGCCAAAGGAGTAGTCTGTCTTCATCACCATTGAAAGAAGAACTCCAGAACATCCTAGGCCCCATGAGGTATCACAGTGATGCACCAAAAGAAACATTGGTCGCTCCACCAGAGAAGAGTCCTGTTCAGGAAGGAAAATATCCTATCCCTGAAGATGCCTGCTACACAGACGGGTCCAGCAAAGGCAACCCAAGCAAGTGGAGAGCAATAGCATACCACCCTTCCACCAAGACAACCTGTTTTGATGAGGGGGATGGTCAGAGCAGCCAATGGGCAGAACTGCGAGCTGTGTGGATGGTTATAACCAAGAAACCCGGTGATGGTATCCTGAACATCTGCACAGACAGTTGGGCTGTGTACCGGGGGCTCAATCTTTGGATTGCAGTGGTCCGCCCAGTAATAGACTACCCATGCCTGGCCAATCTGGGGCAGAGATGTGTAGTCAGCAGAATACGTAAAGCGGAGGCTGTGGAGGTCAACGGACGGTAACAGGATCTGCAGGGGCCCCTTGATTCATGGGAAACCATGGTAACACGTTTCCTGAGGATAAGAAAGGAGAACAAGCAAGACCATA